GTGCAGGTGGGTGAGCTGAACACTATGTGGCTCTACGTGACAGGATGCCCCACACTAGGCTCAGTTGGTTCCAGTGACACTCAGGGGCATGCACACACAGGCACACACACATATAGATGCTCACACATACATGACACGTACATGCACACACACACACACACAAACACACAGACTAAAAATTCCTTTTATTCCACTGACTTCCAGATTATGACAGACAGTTCTTTTATTTTTTTTCCACCCTTCCTCAAAATATTTTTAATAGGAAATACATGCTGCATCTTTTTTTTAAGTTTCTTTTTTCAAAATTTTAGTTCCCCATAGACTTTAATCTGGTGATTTTTCAGAAACAAATACATTAGCCACCGTGCATCTCTGCCTGCCAGTTGCTCTCAGAATGCTTCATCTGGACACCAGAGAAGTGGCTAAGCCAGGAATGTGCCCCTCCTGTTAGAGAGAGGACTCTGTGCTCCTGGCACTGGTGTGATGCTGAAGCTCTTGCAAACATGTGGGAAGGCACATGAAAATGCACTGATGCTCCTATTTCAACAGGGCTTCTTTGAATGACAATCAGACTATAGCATCCAATTGGCTGCATGCTGGTCTCATTTCCCTTTTACTTTGAGATTTCTGCTTCTGGATCTTCAAAATGACAATGAGGACTCTGTGTTCTCAGACCCAGCCTTCAACCTCAATGTTGCCTTTTCATTTTCCTGTTCCATGTCACCCTCCGTCATTCCTGCTGGACTTGAATCCAAGTGGACATTTATTTCTGATACCCAAGCCATGTCTGCAACCACAGAGGATGCTGATCAGAGGCCAGCTGGAGCAGCTGTCACTTGGTCCATTCAAGCGTCCTCATTCCCCATCCTTCCCTCTGTGAATGGTGCGTTGAACTCAAGCCCATATTGAGATCCAGGGAGTGATCATGGTTGTCCTTCTAAACTGGACCTTTCGGATGGCCTGAGAAGCTTCAAGGCAGTGGTTCTCAATCCCAGTAGCACAGAGGAACCCCACCATCCAAGGCCATGCTGAGAATGAGGACAGAACAAATGCCTATCTCGCCCTTACCATCAACACAGATGCACTGGTTGGAGTCCCACACATCTGGATTTGAAATTTTGCTCTGCCACATCAGAGCATTGTCACTTTGGTCACTATATGATTTTCTCTATGACAATGGTTTTTCCTCCTTGAAAATGGGGCTACTGACCTCATGAGATGAAAAAGAAGCTTTAAAAATATCCAAAATGAGATGAAATGTAAAATGTAAAAAATCCAAAATGAGGAAGAATGGACAGGAGGACATATTTTAAAAAGACTATTGTATGTACAGAGAATTTTGCAATCTGACTTCAGGGCTGCTTGAACCTAGAAAAATATTGGCAGGAAGGCTTAAGTGCAGTGAACATGAGGCCTGTCGTAAAGGTTAAAGGAACAAACAAACTTTATTTTACAAGGTTGTTGGCAAGCTCACTTTGGGGAAGATGTGTGAGGGTGACACGTGACACAAGCAAAAGTGTTCCTGTTAGGATGGGTGGGTCAGGGTGCCTACTTTTTAGGTTGAAATAAGCATAGGCTCTTTATGATTGATGGCTTATGTTAAGAGCCTCCAGATGTGCCAGAAAACCACAGAGGACTCTTCATTTATGTGAGACTTGCCACACACTGGATGTTTTCCTAACTTTCAAGGAGTAACTATGATGTTGATCTCCGATAAAACTCTATAACAGTTTATTAGGGCACATAAAACAATTTATTGGAGTTTATAAAAAAAACACAGCAGATTTTGCTAAAAACACATGCCAAGCTGTAGTTACTTTTGGATAACAGTGCTAGAAACACAACAGTAATTGCTAAGAATATTGTGTTTGGACTTTGTTTTGGTGCTTAGCTAAGAGACTGTGGCCGTGGCTCCTTGTCCCATTCCATTGTGTGGATTGACCCTGAAAATGGACTCCAGACACAGAGTCCTCCCTCTCCCCATGCTGAAAATCATTGCCAAATAACGGCAGGGGCTGGTGGGAATGGGGGAGGAGAGGGCTCTGTTACAGTGAGATGAATGTGCATGATTTGAGGCTGACACCAAAGTTGGGAGGCCACCTTCTGTCACAGTGCCCCAATGTGGTGCCTGGGACAGTCGGCTGGAGTTTCTAGGATGGCAATGACCAGGCAAGCTCAGTTTAGCCCTCTAGAAGAAAGTCTTTAAAGAAAGAGGGAGCAGACACACTTTAGGAAGCTGATGAAAGGCAGGCCCCCACTGAACATGGCAATATGGCTACTACTGGAAAATTTGGAAAGAACCAGTCCAGGGAGGGCTGCAGGGAGATGCCACTGCCTGGATTTGAGAGACTCTCAGGGAATAATGGTGGATGAGCACAGACTTTTACTTCTTCCTCATCTGAAACAAATGACTCTAAAGGGATTTTTATTAGATACAAATCCATAATGAAAAGGATAATGTGAAAGGCAAAGGTAGCATCACAATCTCAGGAGCTTCAGAGAAAATGGGTGGTGGTAACTCTGATCCCAAGAAAAAAGAATCTAAATCCGGCAGCAAGAATATTATTCAGCTAGTTATTTATTTAACTACTAGGGGCCCAGTGCACGAATTCATGCACCTTGAAAGGAACTGTGGGCCATGAGGCTGTGGTGGGCACAGAGGCTGGTCTCGGCCTATCCTCCATGCCCCTGCCTGGCCCATCCCCCCATGGCCCCTGGTCTCCTGTGTGCCTGCAGCCCCACTCCGTTGCCGCTGCTCCCACACAGTGACAGCACTGGCCCCGCTCACACCCACTGACAGCACGGAGCAATTGGAGCTGGCACCAGCAGAGGATGTGAGCGGGGGCCAGTGTTGTCAGCAGGTGCAAGTGGCAGCTGCTGCCCCAATCATCCCTGAGGAGCATGGGGAGATGGAGAAACCCTCGGGGCGATCGGGACCGGCAGCCACTGCTAGCACCCACTGCTGGTGCCAAGTGATCAGACCAGCACTGGACGTCGGCAGTGAGTGGTGGCTCCAGCGCCAGTTGTTCAGTTGTTCCGAGGTTCAGTCTATTTTCATATTAGGGTTTTATATATATAGATGGTCAGACAAGAGAAATTATCAGATAGCTGAGAAAAGTCTCTAATGTGAAAATAATAGAGACCTAAACAAACTGCAAAAAGTGAAAAAATTTTAAAAATCAACAACAAACAAAAAAGACACTTGGAAGAAAAAAAGATTACTCAGGGAGAGAAAAAATTCCAAACATGTGAGCAAACATAAACAAATCATTTGTAATTTCAGAGATTAAAGAAAAATTTACCTCTATAAAGCAATAACATGTAATATGTGTATCTATATATTACATGTATGTGAGATATTCAGAGACCAAAAAAGAGCACTTAGAAATTACAAACATGATACAAAATAATTAATCAAGAAGTTATATTGAGGAAATCCACCAAAAAGAACAAGTAAACTGAAGAAAAGGACGAGATGAGAAAGCAATTTAGAAAAAATAAAAACAATTTAAAGTGCCCAAACTTATAAGAATACTAGACAAAAGAGAAACTGCAGAGTAGGAAAATATCAAAGGAATACTTTCATAATATTTTTGAGAACAGAAGGATTTCTAGACCAAAAGGACCCAGTGAAAGCCTGCAATGAGAGATGAAAACACATTTAGGCCAAAGAATTCTGTTGTGAGACTTCAGCAAAGACAGGATGCACCAAACTTCAAGGAAAAAAGCACAAACTAAAAACAGATCATATACAGATCAAAGACCAAAATGACTTTGGACTTTTAAACAACAGCTCTGAAAGCTACAAAACAATGGATACATTCCTTCATAACCCTAAAAACAAAACAAAGAAACAACAACAAAAAACATTTCTAAGATGGATCCTATACTCAACTATTAATTGTGAATGCCAAGAAGTCTCAAAAAATTTGATTTTCCAGGCATTTGTTGGTTGGTGGTGCTTAGAGAACCTACTCTATCCAAAAGATGTGTCAACAAGGAAAGAGGCAGCTATGGAAACTAGAAAACATGATCCACCCCAGGAGAAAAATGAAGGAAATCTCTAAGTGTGATGCTGAAGGGGGATCCCAGAATGGGGCTGTGGACCAGGTCTAGGGACTCCCTGTCCAGACTGAGTGGACCCAGCGGATCTCAGAAAGGGTCACCCAAGGGGCAGAGTTGACAACCTGAATACACGGAGACAAGTACAGCCTTGGAGAAAGGTTTGAAATGGATCGATAATGAGATTTTAGAAAACTAAGTAATATAGGACCACACCAATCACAGAACAGTCATGAACTATAGGGGGAATGGAAGACAGTGAGAAAATTGAGGGAACAGGTATAAACAGAATTTTGAGGTCTTTCTGAGAAGGGGAGCAAAGAAAGGGAATAAGACCTGGGGATATAGGTCAAGAGAGATTTGGGGGTTGTTTGACTTTCTTTGGTTTTGTTTGAAAAACACTGAGTGTTGGTTCCTGTGTGTAAGTATGGTTTCTGCTAGTGGTGAGGTTGGCATTTCAAGAGAGATCAGTCACTGGAGCAATGAGCTCCTTGAGAAGCCAGGAGGGATGAGATCTGGGGGACCAGAGAGGAGATCTCCTTGTCAGGGAGGGGCTCTCACGTGAGTTTAATAGCAGGAAAACAGGTGAACAGGAGTGAACGTGCACTTCAATTTAGGCAGTGAGGGGAGGATAAAGATAGAGTGTTGTTGTTTTTTGTGGGGTTTTTTGTTTGTTTGTTTTTTGACAATTGAACAATGAGGTGTTGCCATCAGTTCTTTTCTCCATGGGTCATTTAAATTTACAATACCCTGAGTTGTGAGAATAAGAATTGCCTCCATTTTAGAAAAGAAGAAATCGAGGCTCCTAAAAGTTATGTAACTTTCCTAAAGTCAGAACCAGTAAGAGAAAGACCATGGAATGCAGATCAAGATGGTTCTGATTGCAATGGCCTTCTCTTGAGGACTCCACAGTAACGCTTCTCCTAGAAAGAGCTTACCCTCATGTAGCTCATGGCCCTGGGGGAGATGGGCATGCGGAAGGCTACTCCAATGACAGCATTCTCTAGTTGCTATGAGGCAGCAACACATAAAGGTAATAGGGTCACATCGCACTGTTCTCTCCACCATCCAAGCCAGGACCAACATGGAAGGAGACCAGGAGCGCTATTTTTAGTAGAATGAGATTTCTAAAAGCTGTCACATGATGGAGGTCCTTTAAAAATCCTGCTTCTTGTCTGTACAAGTCATTCTGTCAGAATGCGGTGGTCAAAAATTGGCAACAGGACTTGATGAAACCCAGGGAAGACATAGCAATGCATTTGAAGTATCTGCACAACATACCCAGCAGGGCAATTACCTTTTTGGAAATAATGCCATAAATATTATGATGTTTGACTGATTTTACTGAGGAGACATATAGAGAAAAAAATGTTAAATGTTTTAACTTCTGAAAAAGACTTTGGCACTTGTAGAACTATTTCCAGGGAGGGCAAAGCAGGTTCAGCACTCCCTGAGACATACCTAAATAAGGAATATGCAAAACTGACTTTCTGCAGAACTGGGGTGAATAAGTGAATGTGTGAGTCAAGCTGAAAGAATCCCAAAAGATAGACAATCACAGGACAGGATGTTGTTTTCAAATCTTTGGAGTAGAAGAGAGGGTGTGTTCTTAAAATCAATTTTTGAGATAATGTGCAAGCATATTCTATATTTCACTACTAATAATATCATAGTAAAATAAAGAAAATTAAAATTTCACTAGAGTCCTCTAGAACAGATGGAACTGAAATGAAGGGTTCTGTGTCTGGGTACAGCAAACAAGGAGGAAGGCTAGTGCTCCATCCTGGTTTTATTTTGCTTCAGTTTCTGTGCTTCCTGCTCAATGATGAGAACACATTTTCACCACCAACTTCAGTGGCTTTGGAATTTAATAAATAAATGCATTGTTTTACATTATTTTCCAGATATAAACTCACTCCCAGTAAAGGCTTTCACTTCATGTTCATGCCTATTTGACATGCATTTGGACTTTGTAACTCACCCCCTTATCCCAATGTCTCGTTGGGTCACTGTATCACTCTATCACTCTTCAAGTTTCAGGAGACAAAAAAAAAAGCTCCATTTAAAAGGTGGTCTTTATTTTAACAACAAGTCCAGATCCCTTTTTTTCTTACAAATTAGCAAAACTGAACACTAAGATTAAGTTTCTGAGTTAGGCCCAAGCTTTTCCTTGCCAAGGACATTGGGCTTAACTGCCCTCCATTAGGCTGCTTGTCATTTTGCGGAGTTCTTGCTTCCCTGCAGGCAGGCTCCTGCCAGTTTTTCTCAGCACACCCACAACGCTTGAGATGATCTCTGTAAGTAGCCAGACTGATACGCTTTCAGAGGCAGGTGGAGAGGGGTGGGCCTGCTGGCTCTGCCACCTCGCCCTATGCGATAAGCAGGTGGTTTAAATCAAGCCATAGAGGAAATCCACAAATTCAGTGTTGAAATAAAAATCCCTTTGTTTATGAACTCAATCTTCCTTTGCCACTGAAAGAAAAAGGAAAACCTTTTTTGGGCAGACTCTACCAGTGCCCCTGGCAAATTGCAAAGAAGATGATTAAGCTAATCTTTGCTTTCACTGGATTCCCCTCTGAGGTTCTCAAAGACATATGCACCTGCGAACTCATGAAAAGTTCTATGACCAAAACCCATGTGAATGTCAGCAGCACTTTGAGAAAAGTCCATTCAGGATATCCCAGTCATGGTGGACATGCAGCGTCCATATGGAGCCCATGCCTGGTCGTTGCACTGGGCTCTCTTGTCGGCCTAGTTCATAGAGCCCTTTCAGTAGACCTGCTTATTAACCAGCGTAGCTGAGATCAATGGGACATCCCAGGCACTGTGCTGTCCAATTGTCCATTGCTTGATCTTTACAACATGTGAGGTAGATACTTTCCTTATCTCTGTGTCCATGTGAGGCTCTTGATTCCTGGACAATTTAAATAAACATTCCCAGGTCCAACAGCATGCAGGAAGACAGGGAGAAACTCAGAGAGGTGGGAGCCATGTCATATTTTAGGACAATCCACCTCTCATTCTTGTGTTTACTCTATGGTTAGGATGTCAACAGGGAAGGGAGGTGGAGAATTCCAGCTAAAGGGAGTTTGGATAAAGCTACAGGGTTTGTAGAAGACTCTTTATAATTCTATTTCTTAGTGAAATGTTTGCCCTGCCTCAGTTTGGTAGAAAGAACACAAGAGTCATGAGATCTTAAGCTAATTCTTCCGTGCTATCAGACACACCCCAAAGTGTAAAGACTTAACTTACTCAGGACTTATTTCTCACTGGCCTCTCTGAACCATGGGGGCCAGAGGAGGGCTTTATGCCTCACTGTCACTCAAGAACCAAGTCTGGCCCTGACCAGTTTGGCTCAGTGGATAGAGTGTCTGTCGGCCTGCGGACTGAAGGGTCCCAGGTTCGATTCCAGTCAAGGGCATGTACCTTGGTTGCGGGCACATACCCAGTAGGGGGTGTGCAGGAGGCAACTGATCAATGTTTCTCTCTCATTGATGTTTCTAACTCTCTATCCCTCTCCTTTCCTCTCTGTAAAAAAATCAATAAAATATATTTTAAAAAAAAGAACCAAGTCTGATGGACACCCTCAGTTCCATCTGCTGGAGCATGAGACCCCTAAAGGCACCATGATTAGTACTCTACTTCAGTCTATAGGTAAACCATGCTAATTTCATCCCTGTCACATTGGTCAGAAATGGTCACCTGTCCCCACCAGGAGGCAAGAGGTTTGGGAAGGGTCTGGAAGCCCATGGATGTTTTAAAGGCTTAAACAGACTTTTACTAATTGGCTCACTACAGCCAGGTTTTCCAAGGGCCTTGAAATGTTAGCTTGTTTATTTCTCCTGTCAACCTCTGGGGGTTCTTGTAGAATCTTTAAATGCATATATGACAAATGGATGAAATTTGTTTCGCATGCATTGAACAGAGAAAGGAACACAAGAAGCTAGGTCAACCTGAATTGATTAAAAGGCCGAAATTATAAGATTGCAAGTATTAGGAAGCAGCACTCGAGTGCCCATAATGGACTATCAGCTGCATGTGAGTGAGTGCTCTGGGCCCATAGCCCTGCCTGCTACCCCCTTATTTGCACCTGTGACCTGTAGAGGGATGGCAAACTCCTGCAGGCCACTTCCTAATTATTATGGATTCTCAGTCAGGAGAAAATGAATGATTATACTGGGCTACATAAAAGTTTTTTGCTTTTAGTTTTTCCCATCTAATCTATCCTAAAAACTGTTTTCAGGTTAGAATTACACAGAGCTCAGTCATAGTTTATTGGCAGTCTTCAGTTGCAGGCATTAGAAACAAACACTGCCTAAAGTGCCAGTTTGTTACAGGACATGGGTTGTCTCATGGAACCAACAGATTATGAATGCAGATAAGCTTAAGGAAGAGACAGGCTGTTCCTATAACTGTGCCCAGCACAGTCTCAAGGCACTCATCAAACTAAGCCAATCTGGTCTTTCTGTTTCCCTCTCACGCTCTTCCTCTGTCTCTCTTTCTCCCTTCTCTCTGTCTCCTCATGTATGTTTTTCTCCCTCTCTGTCTCTCCTTCTTGGTTTCTCTCTGTCTTCTTCTGTCTCTGTCTCTCAATCTGTTTCTTTCTCTCTCTCTCTGTTGCTTTGTCTCTGTTTCTCGTCTTCATCTTTGTCTCCCTCTCTCTCCCCCTCACCCCTTTCCCCTGTGGTATTCCACATAAATAAGACCTGGCTGCCTCCTGGTTCCCACTTGTTTGCCTGTTACAGTTCTAACTTTTAAGTGAGACTGACAGAATCCTCTTAGTTTCAAATGACAAGCCCAGGGAGTGGGAATGTGATGGCCCAGCATGGGTGAGGGGTCTATCCCTCATGCATCAGTCTGGCCAGGCCCGTGGAACTCCCCCAACTCCTGCCTCAAAAAGTGCCACTCTCTGAGAAGGGGCTTTGAGTTAGGCAGATCCCCCTGAGATGTTTGCTATAGTCACAAAGACCATAAATGCTCTGGGGGGAAGAGGATGCAGCATGTGGAATGCTCTTAGCTGTTATGTAGAAAGGTGCTGTCCAGTCCAGCAGGCTCACTTAGACAGGGTTCTTTCCTTCATGTATCTGAATCCTTTATACATGAACTCCAATGATGCATCTCCAAAAAAATAAAATCAGAATCATCCAAGCATATTGACCAACTTACCTTTACATAACAATAAAGTAAGGATCTCAGGAAACAATATGAGAAGCCTTTCCACAGTGGTGCCTTAATATGTGTCTGTCCCATAGGTGTGCTGTTCTGGAAACAATGCTTCCTTGATAACTATTAAAATTCTACTCTTTCTGCAAGGCCAGAGTGGCAGGTGACTTTCTCCTTGAAAATTTCCCCTCTGATTGCCCCCTCTCCTTCTCTCTCCTTGTTCCACCCACACACCACTCAAACTGGAATTTCCAGAATTTGATTAACACAATGAAACGTAAACACTTGACACACTTAGCAATCAGATGGCTACCTCTTTTCTTTCTGAAGGAATAAAAGTGGCCTTGGGAATCTTAAGGATGTGACTCTAAATTGTGGCTTCTCATTGTTTGATTTGAGGAAAACTAATTAGCATACCTACCCCTGAGATGCTTATCTGCAGATCATCAAAAAACAACTCTCTCTTTTCTGGGGTGAAAATTACATGAAATGTCATGCAGGTGTATCTTCAGTGCAGTGCTTGTGCGTGGTGGGGGTTCACAGATGTGAGACTACCTGCTTCCTACCTGCTGTCCTTCTCCCCTTTCCCTGTGCCTTCATAGTTCTGTTTGTATATCATCATTTCAACATTACAATAGTGATCTAAGTTGCTCAAGTTTCCTCGGATTGCTTTCAGAAGAACTGAGTTGAGACAACAAATGATAGCCGTTTGGAGAACTGAGCAGCCCTACCAACCATTAGAAGCAAATAAATCCTTTATTTAAAAAAATACCAATTCTATAATTAAAATGAGTAATCATATTTAATAGTTAATAGGTGTAAAAATGGATATTTAATTCAGAGAAAT